CACCGTATCGGTTTGTGGTATGAAAATTTATAGTTCTATAACATCTCTCTAACTAACTTATATTTAATTAATTGAAATCGAATGCTTTTGTTTCCTTTATCCAATGCTAAAATCTTATTTTAACATTGGACAAAGGAAACAAAAGCATTTCAGATTAGTATAAAAAATTCATTTGTATAAGTTTCCTCGTGAATATAAAACTTGGTAATGGAATGAATGTTTCTTCCATTACCGTAACGTTTCTATCCTTCAAATTATTGCAGTTACTATATTATAACGATCTAAATTAATTATTTAGAAAAATTTATGTAATAAATGACACGGGCAGTGAACGAATGCTTAATTTCTACTATAAGAAAAGGTTAAAATTTGCTTTGCTAACATTCTATATTTCTACTTTAAATCTTGAAATTCGTTCTTAAATCATATCTATTTGTATAGATATTGAACAGAACTAGTTGAAACTTTAACAAGAATTCCCACTATTACTATTCCTTGAACTACTTCAAGATATCCATTAATAGAATCTTACATTAAGAATCAATCTATTGCACCTCTCTCGATGGTCGTTTCACTAAAGAGTACATTATAATCTTCAAAATTTAACTTTATGTTCAATTCATAATAAAAAATGGACCAAAATTAACTTAATTGGTTGAAACTTCCATATTTGGACGACTTTCTTCAATGGCACTACATTATTTATCTAAGAAAAGGAAAGTTTCTTCATCTCCTATCGATTATCTTGACTTTTGCTATCGGTATATTGTCCCCCTCGCATCAATATATTCCGTATAGTTTCTATATGATCGAATTTTTTTTTATCTAACAATTGTTCGATATAAGAGAAAAAAAAACATGAAAAATAATTATTATTTTTATTAATTGAGATATTTAAATAAAAAATTAAATTATATTCATCATCATCATCATCAAGTAAATATGGTTTCATCGCCCGTAGATGTTTGATGCAAGTTTAATTATGTCTTTCTAAGTGCCTCTACTTGCAGCAAAATGGCTCCATAAATTATAATAAATCCACTTTAGAACTGTACTAAAAAATACGAGAGACGTCAAGAAAATGTTTCGAAATTTATACTAAACAAAAGATTAATTCTAATTAATTCCAAGTAATTAAGTATAGTTTAAAAATCTAATATGGTAAACGTGTACTGTACATGGCACTTTTTAATTATTAAATGTTTCCACAATTAATAAGTACACTTCAGCAAATTTTTTAAATACTTTCCATCAATTTACTACTTTTTTTTTACTGTTTATTCTTTAATTTTATTCACTACAATTGCGAACAGGAAAACAAAGGACGAGTCTGTACAGAATGGAATGCTCAAGATGCTTCTTCTTCTTCTGCATCTTGAGCAAAAATGGAAGATGCTGGAGGAAGATTTGACCTTCTCATCTATTATTTGAACAATGTATTGTAATAAATAATGCAAAATTTATTATATTTTATTACGAAATTAATACAAGATTCATTTGATTCGTACGAAATTTGAGCCTTATTTATATTTGACGTTTTTAATAAAATATTCTAGGATGAATATCAATTTATTAATATTTTATTGAAGTTATATTTAGTTGGCATATTATCATTGAGAAAGATACTTGAGTTAATTAACCAATGCTGTGTATTATCATTCTGTTTTTGGTGCAATCAACGATGCATTTGCACACGTTTTCACTTCAATAAATCCAATTTATTTGATATAAAAATATTTCAAGGGAATGAAAACATATTAAAGAATGCCGCTTAAGATTGATTAAATTATTGAAATTAATTAAAGAATTTTTATATTTAATAACATTTCGAGTTTCTTGTAATTAATAACTTTATATATATATATTAAAAAAATACATCAAAGAATTCTAATTATTCTAAAATGCTTCTGTATTACTGTAATTCAATTCACAGTTTTTTTTATGCTCCAAAAGATTACAACATTACTGAAAAATATTTCTAATCTTCTGTATATCGCGATCTACCGGTTAGGAATTCATATTATAGTATTTAAATAACAATATATTTCAAGTATCATTACTACTTTAATATGGATGAAAATATATTAAATAAATTTTTAAAATAATAATAATATTAATAT